AATTGCCAAGCTCCATTATCAGTCAGCCGTTCTTTTTGGACTGCCCACTTTATCAACGAGCACGCAGAATTTACCTCTGTCGTCGTCTTCGCTCCGCTGCTCTCTCTTTACCTTCCATTCTCGTGATGGCCCCCACCTTTCATCCGGACTCTCTCATTGACTTTTTGACAACGACTGACTTGCTTCACAAATTCTGATACCTTCAGCCCTTTCTACTTCAATCTCTTGCTACCTTCTATCCCCGTACTATCCCCTGCCCCGCTGTTTTCTGTAACCTGCTGATCATCCCCCCTCCCTTCTGCCATCCAATTCCCTTGCTTCCTTCCCTACCCTGCAGCGCTGTATAGCCCTTGTGGCTTAGCGCTTCTTTTTTATTATAATAATAATAATAATACGGACTAGAGGGGTTAGGAAAGTCCACATGCGGAGGCAGTGGAAAACGTTCAAGCAGCGAAGGAACGGTGCGCTGTGAAGAAAGGAGTTGCGCAGGAGGAGTAGAGGAGAGAGAAGGAGCGGAGGGTGGATCAGTGTCCATTGATGGTTTGGTCTCTGCAATATATTCAGAGATTGCTTCAAGTGTTTCAGAATTCAGAGGTGTTGTATGGGAGACAATATTGGAAATGGTAGGGGGAGGATAAGTAAAGATTGGAACTGTAATGGACTGTACCAAGGTAGGGGGGGGGGCAAAAGGGTGGAGGGAACTGGGGGAAGCGTGGAAGGGGACAGAAGAGGCAGAAACCTGGGAGGTGGCAGAAGGGGAAGAAACTTGGGAGGGAACGGGGAAGGAAGGTACAGTACGGGAGGAGGGTGAACCTCTACACTTGTAACAGAGCCAGTGAGAGGGGGAGAACCAGGTACAGAGACAGGGAAGGGAAAATGAGGAGGTGGAAATGGGTAGGAGATGTTAACGGACCTTTTTTTGACTTTTGAGAAGTAGAGGGACGATTGGGAGGAGGTGTCATACGAGATCTCGTCGCTACTGAGGCTTGTGAGAGAGAACACGAAGAAGCAAGATCAGACTGAGACGTTGAAGTAGGGACGTCTGAGCCAAGGACAGCAAAAGAATTAGCTACAGGAAATGACTATGGGAGAGGTAACCACAGAGGTGGGTGCAGAAGATGGGATAAACCCGAAGTTGGGGGGCGTTTTGAACACGGGAATAAGAAACAAGGGTAGTCTCCCCTTTGGGGGCGGAGATTTAGAAACTGCCATTTGGGATAAGGGAGACTTCTGCTCTTTGAGGTAACGGATTTCCCCCTCGTTTAACTAATTTACAACGGCGAGAGTACGAAGGGTGAGCTCATGACAAGCAAGAGGGAGGCCAATTGCAAGACGTATTAGAATGGTCATCGGCACCCAGACTGGGCATTCGGCGATAGATCCCGCAATATTTCGCTGGATGGCCAAATCGCCAGCAATTTCTACACTGTTGCGGTGTAGGGGGTCACCTTTCGAATTTGTAACCGATGTCCTGCCCACACAAACTGAGGATGGGAGTTCACGGCTGTCAAAAGTTAAACGAGCCACATTGCTAGGGTATCGTCTCCGCCCGCGGGCAGGAAGAACGTAAGTGTCTACCTTTAGGATTGGGAGATCTTGGAGTTCCAGCTGTTCAAGAATGTCAGTGCCACATGTCTGGAAATTTGTTGAACTATGGTATGGGGCAGAATGACGGTACCACTACAAAAAATTTAGGGAATGATGCTTTTCATAGTTACAGGAACAGTATCGATATGGGAAAGACGAGAAAGCTCATGAGCCTGGGTAGCATTCTGTACGGTGACGATGCTCGTACCGCTCTTAAGAGCATGAAAAGAAATATCTTTACCAACATGGCATAGGAGTGCCTTGCCAATACTGTGGTCAGAAAGATAGGCAGTAGAGGAAGTCGGTCATAAAGTGAAGAATTTAGTCCATTGTGCAGTCTGAAACTTCAGCGTGGAAAGGTAGTGAAGGACGTGTCTATCTTTTCTGAGAAGAACGAGAAGGTGGAGAAGTATCATCAGCAGGTATTTGTCGTCGTTTAGTCGTGGGACCAGAGTTGGTCCGACGTGGAACGGGCCGATTCGAAAATTGCCGCACCGTAGAGGGAGAGGCCGGAAGCATAGTCCGAGGAGAGCGAAGATCAGATAAGTCGAAGGAGTCGGTCGAGGCCTCAGTACCTGAAGCGGGTGAGGAAACAGCACCGGCAAGAGGTACAGAGGCATGAGGAGTGTCCGAAGAGTGGTCCAAAGACGAGGCGGGGTCAGAACGGGGTGCGGTATCAAGAAGGGGCCCGGGGGTAGCAGGTTCATAGACTAGGGCTGCCATGGCAGCGCTGTATAGCCCTTGTGGCTTAGCGCTTCTTTTTGATTATAATAATAATAATAGGGCTGCCATGGTTAGGTTACTTCTTTCTTTTTGTTTTAAAAAAAAAAAATAAAAATAAAAAAAAGAATAAAAAGGGGGACCGGGGAGGGATAGTTCCTAGGAGGAATGAAAGGCAGAAATCTCCCTCGCGCCCAAGAGGACCTCAGCCCGAAGTACGCAGATGCGCATGGAACCCATGCCATACCCGACCATCATCCAGTAACGGCAAACGGGTAGCAACCTCAAAATCTGCCGAGCTACCTCGGTGGACAAAAGAGAGGGCGGCCGGAAATCCACCACAAAGCTACCTCCCTTTGGCCACCACCCCCGGAATCCCAAAGGTGGCTTCCAGAGATACACCCGTCGCCGAGAGGACACCCAAAGCCACCCTCCGGGATACCGGAGAGGGATCAGGACATCCCCAGGCAATCCAGAGTCCACGGCAAACTACGCCACCGCCAAGAACGTCAACGGAATGGGATGGACCCCGGTACCCTTTCCCCTACCTAGGAACTAGCGTGCCTGTGGGGGAAAAAAAAAAAAAAAACCAAAGGCCAAAAAGGAAGGGCAAAAGGGAGGGGTGGGGAGGAGGAGGAAAGGAAAATGGGGAGGATGGGATAGGGAACGGGGGATTGGGGGGTAATTAGGTTCGGTCTGAGGAAGTAGACCGACAGGTCTAATTCCTCAGACCAAGAGCCTCTTCACCACGCCAAGGAGCCCCCCCTTGAAGAGGCAGCACTGTATAGCCCTTGTGGCTTAGCACTTCTTTTTGATTATAATAAATGTATTATTGTATTACACTATTATACATATTAAAGATTTACTGTCATGCCTTGTTGCAATAATTGTATAAATAATGTCAACCCATTCACGACTGCATATTGGAATGGACAGTGATGTCATTTGTTTACTCTTGAGCATAGTCAAGCAAACGAGCATTTGTCCCTCGTTGAGCTCAATTTCAAGGTACTTTTCGTCGTGAAAGCAATCAAAATCATATCTATTTCTGTAATATATCTTCCATTCTATCAAACGAGACCAAAAAAAAAAAATGAATACAACCATAAAACCATTCGAAAATACTAAGGGGTGGCTAAGTGCTGAGAAGTGAACTCCATTATTTATGCTCCGATTTCTTTCATTTTTGGTGTATATTAAGAAGCATCTTTCCATCATACATTGCCCAAGTTTCAATAAGATAGTCCAACAAACAAATGAGATACAATTCTCTAGATCAAGAGGAGAGCCCCTCACCAGCATCAAGGAACCTCACACTAGGTCTGCTCGCTTATGGAAACAAAAAATCAACCCATCGACTGCTCGTATTTGGAAAAATCTCACACGTGGATGCGCTCGCAAGTAGAGGTTCCACTATTTCTTATGGGAAGATTTGTTTGGTATACGTCCAAGGCTCTGGAACAGATTAAGGACATATACCGAGGTACCACTGTACTTAGTTTAATAGAATGCAATGTAGCAGATCAGACCAATGTTGTTGCCAACAGTTGTGAAGTTGGGTAAAAATCATAGCAAAATAGTCTTTGAATGGAACAACCTCTATATGAAACTGGATGTCATGTACTGCTGACCGTGCAGCAGTCTGCCTGTTCATTGCTCTGTACGTCAACATGACCAGGGACCCAGCAAAGACACCATCTTTGTGCTTGCTAGTGGTACAGCATAAGATCCTCTAAGAAACGTCAGCAGAGGTGTAGAAAGTCACTGCTAAAAAATAAAAAAAATTAATGCTACATATTTTATTAATTAACTACACATACTTGTCATAATATACAGTACTGGATGACCCATACAGGCTTAACAAATGCTAAACAGTTTAGCACATACATGTATTCATATAAGTGAACCTTCATAGCTGGTACACCTATTATAAGGAAATTCTGCAGTTAAAATACTATCTATGCATTGCTAGGATACTAAGCTGATACACTGAAATTACATACCTATATACAGAACATGCACACTGAAATCCAGTTTCCCCTCAAGGAAGGTTCCTTGATGTTGGTGACGGGCTCTTGATTTAGGGAATTGGATCTGTGCTCCAGTTCCCCAAATTAAGCCTGAATGCCTTCCACATCCCCCCAGGCGCTGTATAATCCTCCGGGTTTAGCGCTTCCCCCTTGATTTTAATAATAATGAAACTACTTTTTGTAAAGTTTAACACTTATTTTGCTAAAACATGCTATTTTCAAGTTTCAAACTTGCTGATATACAGTAATTATTATTCAGCTAGATACAGTATGCATATATAATTTTTTACTATCCAGAGTAAACAAAAAAAAATGTATAAGCAATTTATAAACTAGAAAAGAAGATCTTCCTCTTCACTGCTATTATCAAAAATTCTTCCATGTTGCTCTGGGTGTGCTATATCCTCCTCCTCTTTCAGTCTATCAGCTTCTTTCAAAGCTAACCTTTCCTTTTCTGCCTTGTCCTTGATTTTTTTCTTCTTCTCTTGAATCTTCTTTAAGCGATAAAACTCTTCACGCTCAAGTTCGTCAAGTTCAGAAATTATGTATGCCAGTGTACACTCGTACCGTGGAATGATGACTGGAAAAAAAAAAAAAACTGTAAACAATGTAAATTCAACATTGTACTAGACAATGACAATATGAAGGAAATACCTACTAGATCAATTACTAAAAAATATTCTGACTGATGTATGCTAAATAGGGAACTGTGTTTAGTCTGGGAGAATGGCCTTCATGCAAATGTTAAATCATAATTTAAAAATACAGAAGACACAAAAAAGTGAATTGTTATTATTATTATTTTATTATCACACCGGCCGATTCCCACCAAGGCAGGGTGGCCCGAAAAAGAAAAACTTTCACCATCATTCACTCCATCACTGTCTTGCCAGAAGGGTGCTTTACACTACAGTTTTTAAACTGCAACATTAACACCCCTCCTTCAGGGGTGCAGGCACTGTTACCCCATCTCCGGGATCAAGTCCGGCCTGCCGGTTTCCTGAACCCCTTCATAAATGTTACTTTGCTCACACTCCAACAGCACGTCAAGTATTAAAAACCATTTGTCTCCATTCACTCCTATCAAACACGCTCACGCATGCCTGCTGGAAGTCCAAGCCCCTCGCACACAAAACCTCCTTTCCCCCTCCCTCCAACCCTTCCTAGGCCGACCCCTACCCCGCCTTCCTTCCACTACAGAATGATACACTCTTTAAGTCATTCTGGTTCGCTCCATTCTCTTACATGTCCGAACCACCTCAACAACCCTTCCTCAGCCCCCTGGACAACAGTTTTGGTAAACCCGCACCTCCCCCTAACTTCCAAAACTTACGAATTCTCTGCTTATATTCACACCACACATTGCCCTCAGACATGACATCTCCACTGCCTCCAGCCTTCTCCTCACTGCAACATTCATCACCCAGCTTTTACACCCCTATAAAGAGCGTTGGTAAAACTTCTCTCATACTTCCCCTCTTTGCCTCCAAGGACAAAGTTCTTTTGTTCCACAGACTCCCAAGTGCACCACTCACTCTTTTTCCCTCATCAATTCTATGATTCACCCCATCTTTCATAGACCCATCCGCTGACACGTCCACTCCCAAATATCTGAATTTCGTTCACCCCCCTCCATACTCTCTCCCTCCAAACTGATATTCAATCTTTCATCACCTAATCTTTTTGTTATCCTCATAACCCTTCCCTTTTTTTCCTTTTATTTCACCTTTAATTTTTTCTTCTTTTGCACACCCTAAAAATTTCCCATCCACCAATCTCTGCAATTTTCTTTTCAGAATCCCCCAAGGGGCACAGGGTCATCGGGAAAAAGAAGCAGCTGGGGACAACCCCCCTTTTTGGTTTTGTGTTTCTTTATTTTTTAAACCCACCCTTTTCCCAAAGGGCCCTCGCATTTACTTCTTTTAAAACCCCCCCATTAAAAATTATTTTAAAAAAAAAACCAGGGGTGACACCCACCCACCCTTTTTCAAAAGGGCCCTACTTTTACTGGGAAAAAATTTTCCCTTTTTCCTTTCAAAACCTAACTTGAGCCTCACTACCCTTTCCCGAAAAAAAAACTTTTCCACTGTTTTCCCAGTAACCACCCCCTTCCACCTTTACACTTGAAAAATCTGCCACTTTTCCCCCCCCTATCCCCCCGGGTCATACCCCTTTTTTCAAATCCATAAAGGGCCCAAAAACCCTTTAGCCTTATCAAAATTTACTGTTTCACTTATATTTTTTCATGTAAAACCGGGGTTCCAAACCACACCCCCACCTTTCCAAAAGGGCCTCCTTTTCATTTGTTTTTTCCCTTTTCCCCGTTTACTCTTAATTCTTTAAAAATTAAAAATTTTAACTTTTAACCTTTTTACCAGGTAAAAACTAAACAAAATTTTATCCCCCTATAATTTTTTGCACTCTTTTTTAATCCCCTTTGGCCTTTTTAAAAAAGGAACTTTTGCATGCTCTTTTTCCCCAATCCTAGGTCCCTTTTACCCTCTTTTCCCTTTAAATTTATTAAAAAATTGCCCCAAACCACTCCAAAACATACCCCCAACCTGTTTTTAAAAACATTTTCTATCTTTTTTCCCAACCCAACCCCCGGCTCCCTTTCCCCCCTTTAAATTTTACCTACGCCTCACAAAAACTTTCCCCCACATTTCAAAAGGGGGCCCCTTTTCCCTCACCCTTTACAAGATGTTTTTTCCTCCTTCCCCTTTTTAACAAAAACCCAACAGTTTCCCCCTATTTTTATAAACCCTTTTAAAAATTTCCTCAAAATTTTTCCCTTTTCCATTTTTCCCCTTTTACCTCTAACTCCCCCTTTTTAATAACTTTTTCCTCTCCTATTTTTAACTGCCCAAATTTCCTTTTGGGTTTCTAGGCTTTTTTTAACTTGTTAATCTCACCCCAAAAAAATTTTTTTCTTATTTTCAACAAAATTTTTGTTTAAACATCTCACCCCTCTCTCATTTGCTCCTTTTTACATTGCTTCACCCACCCCTCTTAATTTTCTTTTCTTTTTCTCCATATACTCTTCCCTCCTTGCATCACTTCTACTTTTTTAAAAAAAATTTTCCAAATATGCTAATTTTTTCCCCCTTTTACTACTCTTTTACATCTTTCTTTCCACCAATCGCTTTCTTCCCCCTGCACCCACTTTCCTGAAACCCCCAATTTTTGGGCTAAAAACATTTCCAAAACATTTACATTTTTAAAACCTTTACCCCATACCTTTTTCGACCCCATTGCCTATGCCCCTCATTAGCCCACTATCCCCCCAAAGGGGCGGGTTTAAATTTTTCCCAAAAACTCCCTCCCCCTTTTGGGTTTTTAAAAACCCTTTTAAAACCTCTCTCTTCCCTGATGTTTCCCTTTTTTCCTTGTTTTCCCATTATTTTTTTAATCTCAGTGTGGCTACAACTAAAAAAGTGATCTGATATATCTGGGGCCCCCCTCTATAAACATTTTCCCACCCTTTAAAGGGGTTCTACTCAACGGGTCTTTTATCCCAAAAACAAAATCCAAAAAACTACTGTCATTTCGCCCTAAAAATTAATCGTGTATACTTTTTTTACCTCTTTTTTTAAAATATGTATTACCTAAAACCAAAAACCCCCTTTCTTTTAACAAGTTCAATAAAAAGGGGCTCCCAAATTATCTTTTTCCCACCTGGCCCCCCAAACTTCCCTACCACCCCCTCTCAAAAAAGTTTTTTCCAAATTTAGCATTAAAGCCCCCTACCAAAATTTAATTTCTCTCACTTGGTTCAAAGGCTCCTATACATTCACTTAAATCTCCCAAAATCTCTCTCTTCCTCTGCATTTTTTCTCTTCTCCAGGTGCTACACGCTTATTATGGGCCCACTTCCTCGCATCCAAAACCCTTTTCTTTAATCCACAATTTAAATTTTTGAAAATTTTCACATTTTATATTCTCTTTTCCCCCTTCCAAAAATTTTCATTTTTAAATTTTCTGCTACCCCCCTTTCCCTTTTCTCTAAAATCTCTCAGATACCCCCAAAATTTAAACCCCTTTATTTTCCCCCCCCCTGAAACCTCCTACCCCCCTTCACTTTTTTTCGCTTGGGCCAGGGGCATCCAACTTCTTTTCATTCATAACATCAGCAAAACATCTGTTTTTTTGTATCCACCACTACATTTCCCCCCACATTTTTAAAAAAACCCCGTTTTTTAAAGTTTTTTTCTTTTCTCTTTTTTTAGCAAAATTTTATACAGGAGAAGGGGTTACTAGCCCATTGCCCCCCCGGCATTTTAGGGCGGCCCCCATACGACACGCATTTGGGTTACGGAGGAAAGATTTTTTTTCCCTTTTCCCCCTGGACAATAGAAGAAATAAAAAAGAAAAAAAAGCTTTTTTAAAAAAAAGGGGGAAAAACCTAGATGTATGTTTATTATATATTATGCATGTCGTGTCTGTTTTAAGTTTTGGGGCCAAAAATGTAAGGGAGGAAATAGCAAAATATCCCTTTTTTATTTTTAGGGGTGGGTTTTTGAGACGAAAAAGGGAAAACCCGGCCCAAACCTACCATCTTGGGAAAACAGTTCCCGGTTTTTGTTTCACAGGGCATTTTTGGCAGGGCGGTAGTTAAAATTTCCCCGGGTGGGTTTCTGTTACCAACCTATACCTATAAAGTGAATTGGTGTTTGACTTGTAATCCCATGTTCCCCCCACCCACAAAAAGGTTGGTAAACCCCCTATATTTTTGGGCATCCCCCCCCCCCCCCCCTTGTTTTTTTTGCCTCTGTGGGGTTTTTTGTGCAACAACCCTTTCTATTGGGTTTTTCCTCATCTTTCAAACCCACTACCCAAAAAAATTACATACTCTTAACTTTTGGGGATAAAAGCAAATTAAAATCAGAAGGATTATTTTAAAATATCCCATACAAAAATTAAAAAAAATTTTTGCTTTAATTTTTTAGTACAATATCCCCTATTGTTTCCTTTTTTTTCCACATCAAAATTTTAATTTTATGAAATTTAACCCCTTAAAAAATGTCCAAAAAAAATTTTTAGTTGCTTGCGTAGGGCTCCGAACGTAGATCTATGTTTTTTTAAGTGCTTTCTTATGGAGAAAATCAAGGTCGGAGCACTACAACAAACGTAGATCTACATTTGGACAGTAAGGGTTAACTAGTTCTAGTCATACACTTACCATGTTCTATGGCATTTACTCGACGGTTAGTTATCTTAACTGCAATATCAAGGGTTACGAATGAAGCCTGAAGCGAAGCCAGCTCTATTAGTAACTCGATAGCACGTTTGTAATAGATCTTGAGCTTTGCCATCTGCTGACCTCCACGGGACAGTCCAGTCAACTCATATGTGTCAGCACCATCTTCAAAGCTTTCAAACACTGGAAGATTGGTACCTGGAAGATTTAAGTGTAGCAATAGAAAATAATGCAAATAGAAATATAGTACAAGAAAACTGCCAATAAATAAAAGATACAAAATTAATTCTGTTTAAATAACAAGGTGATGCAGTACCATATTGTACCTAGTAAAGCCAGTATATAATATTAGTGGAATCAGTTATGGGAATAAATTATAATAAAAAATGAAGCACTAAACCTACATATGGGAATAAAGCTTATTCAGCCAGTTTACCTGGAGAGAGTTCCGGGGGTCAACGCCCCCGCGGCCCGGTCTGTGACCAGGCCTCCTGGTGGATCAGAGCCTGATCAACCAGGCTGTTGCTGCTGGCTGCACGCAAACCAACGTACGAGCCACAGCCCGGCTGATCAGGAACTGACTTTAGGTACTTGTCCAGTGCCAGCTTGAAGACTGCCAGGGGTCTGTTGGTAATCCCCCTTATGTGTGCTGGGAGGCAGTTGAACAGTCTCGGGCCCCTGACACTTATTGTATGGTCTCTTAACGTGCTAGTGACACCCCTGCTTTTCATTGGGGGTATGGTGCATCGTCTGCCAAGACTTTTGCTTTCGTAGCGAGTGATTTTCGTGTGCAAATTCAGTACTAGTCCCTCTAGGATTTTCCAGGTGTATATAATCATGTATCTCTCCCTCCTGCATTCCAGGGAATACAGGTTTAGGAACCTCAAGCGCTCCCAATAATTGAGGTGTTTTATCTCCGTTATGCGCGCCATGAAAGTTCTCTGTACATTTTCTAGGTCGGCAATTTCACCTGCCTTGAAAGGTGCTGTTAGTGTGCAGCAATATTCCAGCCTAGATACAACAAGTGACCTAAAGAGTGTCATCATGGGCTTGGCCTCCCTAGTTTTGAAGGTTCTCATTATCCATCCTGTCATTTTTCTAGCAGATGCGATTGATATAATGTTATGGTCCTTGAAGGTGAGATCCTCCGACATGATCACTCCCAGGTCTTTGACGTTGGTGTTTCGCTATTTTGTGGCCAGAATTTGTTTTGTACTCTGATGAAGATTAATTTTTTCCTCATGTTTACCATATCTGAGTAATTGAAATTTCTCATCGTTGAACTTCATATTGTTTTCTGCAGCCCACTGAAAGATTTGGTTGATGTCCGCCTGGAGCCTTGCAGTGTCTGCAATGGAAGACACTGTCATGCAGATTCGGGTGTCATCTGCAAAGGAAGAGACGGTGCTGTGGCTGATATCCTTGTCTATGTCAGATATGAGGATGAGGAACAAGATGGGAGCGAGTACTGTGCCTTGTGGAACAGAGCTTTTCACCGTAGCTGCCTCGGACTTTACTCTGTTGACGACTACTCTCTGTGTTCTGTTAGTGAGGAAATTATAGATCCATCGACCGACTTTTCCTATTATTCCTTTAGCACGCATTTTGTGCGCTATTATGCCATGGTCACACTTGTCGAAGGCTTTTGCAAAGTCTGTATATATTACATCTGCATTCTTTTTGTCTTCTAGTGCATTTAGGACCTTGTCGTAGTGATCCAATAGTTGAGACAGACAGGAGCGACCTGTTCTAAACCCATGTTGCCCTGGGTTGTGTAACTGATGGGTTTCTAGATGGGTGGTGATCTTGCTTCTTAGGCCCCTTTCAAAGATTTTTATGATATGGGATGTTAGTGCTATTGGTCTGTAGTTCTTTGCTGTTGCTTTACTGCCCCCTTTGTGGAGTGGGGCTATGTCTGTTGTTTTTAGTAACTGTGGGACGACCCCCGTGTCCATGCTCCCTCTCCATAGGATGGAAAAGGCTCATGATAGGGGCTTCTTGCAGTTCTTGATGAACACAGAGTTCCATGAGTCTGGCCCTGGGGCAGAGTGCATGGGCATGTCATTTATCGCCTTTTCGAAGTCATTTGGCGTCAGGATAACATCGGATAGGCTTGTGTTAATCAAATTTTGTGGCTCATAAAAAATTCATTTTGATCTTCGACTCGAAGTCTGGTTAGCGGCTTGCTAAAAACCGAGTCATATTGGGACTTGAGTAGCTCACTCATTTCCTTGCTGTCATCTGTGTAGGACCCATCTTGTTTAAGTAGGGGCCCAATACTGGACGTTGTTCTCGATTTTGATTTGGCATAGGAGAAGAAATACTTTGGGTTTCTTTCGATTTCATTTATGGCTTTTAGTTCTTCCTGCGATTCCTGACTCCTAAAGGATTCTTTTAGCTTAAGTTCGATGCTTGCTATTTCTCTGACCAGTGTCTCCCTACGCATTTCAGATATATTGACCTCTTTTAGCCGCTCTGTTATTCTTTTCCGTCGCCTGAAAAAGGGAGCGCCTGTCTCTTTCTATTTTACATCTACTCCTCCTTTTTCTTAGAGGAATAAGCCTTGTGCATACATCGAGTGCCACCGAGTTATTCTGTTCTAGGCATAAGTTGGGGTCTGTGTTGCTTAGTATATCTTCCCAGCTTATATCGGTTAGGACTTGGTTTACTTGGTCCCACTTTATGTTTTTGTTATTGAAGTTGAATTTGGTGAATGCTCCCTCGTGACTAATCTCATTATGTCGGTCTGGGGCTCCGCGCATACATGACTGAACCTCAATTATGTTGTAATCCGAGTATATTGTTTTTGATATGGTGACATTTCTTATCAGATCATCATTGTTAGTGAAGATGAGGTCTAGTGTATTCTCCAGTCTAGTAGGCTCTATTATTTGCTGGTTTAAATTGAATTTTGTGCAGAGATTTAAAAGCTCGCGTGAGTGAGAGTTTTCATCAGAGCTGCCTCCTGGTGTTATTACTGCAGCAATATTATTTGCTATATTCCTCCATTTTAGGTGCCTTAAGTTGAAATCCCCCAGGAGCAAGATGTTGGGTGCAGGAGCTGGAAGATTTTCCAGACAGTGGTCAATTTTTAACAGCTGTTCCTGGAATTGCTGGGATGTTGCATCCGGAGGCTTGTAGACTACAACAATGACTAGGTTTTGGTTCTCGACCTTTACTGCTAAAACTTCCACTTCATCATTTGAGGCATTTAGCAGTTCTGTGCAAACAAGTGACTCTGCAATGTACAGGCCAACCCCCCCCTTTTGCCTGTTCACTCTGTCACATCTGTATAGGTTGTAACCTGGGATCCATATTTCGTTGTCCAAGTGATCCTTTATGTGGGTCTCAGTGAAAGCCGCGAACATTGCCTTTGCCTCTGCAAGCAGTCCACGGATGAAAGGTATTTTGTTGTTTGTTGCTGGCTTTAGACCCTGTATATTTGCCAAGAAGAATGTTATCGGACTGGTGGTATTGTTGGTACTGGGGGGGGGGGGGTTTAATGAAATATAAAAATGTTCCTATAAGACTGATTAGCTGAGGCAGTGAAGGAACTGATGGATGATGGAACTTAATTTAATGGCTTTATAATAAAAACAGTTTTATAGTATACTACTATATTAATGACTTCCTATAAGGAAAAAAAAAACATATAATTATCATACAAAAATTAACCGAGAGGGAAAAACCGCATCAAATGGATTAAGTTTGCACCATAAGGTAATTCCTTACCAGCAACGTTGTCCATTCTACTTCTGATCTTAATACGGGCTTTTGTCACATTTTGAAGCACACTCTGGTTGAAGTCACCACCTGATGCAAATTTTGCTTCTGCGAGTGAAAATGCAGCATCCTTCATGACATCTCCCATCAGGGTCTTTGTCTAGCAATGAAAGAAATGTCATTAGTACCCTAATAAAGTCCAGATGAAATATAGAAATATGTATTCTGTGCAGTACAATGTGTCAAACTTTGCTTTACTTTTAATGTGCAGCATAATACACAAACCCCTCATGGAAGGTTCCTTGATGTTGGTGAGGGGCTCTTCATTTAGGGAATTGGAACTGTGCTCCAGTTCCCCGAATTAAGCCTGAATGCCTTCCACATCCCCCCCCCCCGGGCGCTGTATAATCCTACGGGTTTAGCGCTTCCCCTTTGATTATAATAATAATAATAATAATAAATAATACACAAAACATATGATTGCCACATACGCTTAAAAAAAAAAAAAGTACAGTATACAGGAGGGCCCCACTTATACGGGAGGCTAGTTTCCGAGATACTGTTGTAAAGCAAAAAAAATGGCTTTTTTCACTTTGAAATGCACATAAAAGCCTGATAACATGTTTACACTATCATATTAAGTGAGCACTAGAGCTAGACCTAAAAATACATATACACTACACACATTATATAAGCTAAGGATGAAAATACTGACAAAGCCAGCTTGATAAAGCTCCTGGCGAGCAAAACATTGCCACAGTAAAATGTCACATTAGTTGCACTCGTGTCGTTTTACCTAACAATATATTTATCATAGGACGTCTGAATAAATGAAGAATAGGTATTGTAGATGAATGGTTCAGAGAACCGACATGTTGATAAATTAGACACATGTGCAACTCTTGGGTATCTTTATTGAGGAAACGTTTCGCCACACAGTGGCTTCATCAGTCCATACAAAGGAGAATCTTGAAGAACATGAGGAGAATGAGGTAATCAGTCCCTCAACCTGGAGTCGATGTGGTCAGTCCATCAATCTTGAATAGGTATTCTATTCAAGATTGATGGACTGACCACATCGACTCCAGGTTGAGAGACTGATTACCTCATTCTCCTCCTGTTCTTCAAGATTCTCCTTTGTATGGACTGATGAAGCCACTGTGTGGCAAAACGTTTCCTCAATAAAGATACCCAAGAGTTGCACATGTGTCTAATTTATCAAGAATAGGTATAACTGAAAACCCACTGTATTAGAGAAATGCTGTAAAGTGGGGGCCCTCCTGTAATTTAGTACCATTTCTGTAAAGCAGTTTACATAAGTAATGGAAGAGGCCATAAAATGGGGACTAGAAAGTGCAACTATGTTGTGTAAATAGTACAGCAAAAACTTTAGTGGCATAGCTATATAAACCTTGCCTTCAAGGAATTACCTGTTTTACTCACTTGTTAACTCAATGTAGTCAGGCCTCTCACTATTTGTAAAGAAAATTTTTTTCCAGTATACCTTTGGCTACTTTTTTTGACTTGTATATCTGTTAAGGTACAGTGCCTGCACTCTGAAGGAGACAGTTATGTGTTGGATGTTGCATATTATCTTGAAGCTTACGAGTGACCGGTCTGCCTTTTTCTGTTATTGACATTTACATCAGACTAAAATTTTTAAGTTTTAATTTTGAACCAAAAGAAAATAAAAAAATTTAGTTTAATCCTATCCAACCAACAGAATTTGAGGCCAGCCTTAATTTAGTGATCCTCAAATTGATCTCTGCAATAATAAATTTACATCCAGCTTGTTTGGCAAAATGATTGTTGCCAAAAGTTATGTTCTACCTACAAATCTGGAAAAAGTTATGCTAGCTTAGCAAAGTGTGGCAATACATACAAATACCAAAGGGAATTAATAAAGCACTGGTTGATTTACAAGAGCACATACACTCAAAACATTTTCCACTTTGAATGTTTTTAATAACCTTAAATAAGTAATTTTTTAGCATTCTAGTACTCCTAATGGGGGGAAATTTAAATGAAAATAGATGCCCTTACCGATGTGCTACAGTGGTATTACTTCATAATTATTAAAACTTTTGGAAATTTCATGTATTCAAGAAAAACTAATATGCATTGAAAGATTCAACATAATTAAATGTATTTTTAATATTGGAGAATTTCCAAAATATGCCATGATCAGTGATCAAAGAAATAATTTCTGGGGGATGCAACACGCAATTCCACAACCCCTTTAATTAACTACAGAAAAATCAAGACTTATGCCACAGAAGACAAAAAACCCCAATACGGAATCCGGAATCATCGCTTCTCTACAACCAACAAATTTTAAACCCGAAAAATGGCTTCTATAAATAGCTGAACCCCTCGCCAAGAAAATTCTTCATGCTATCCCCATAAGAAAATGAACACGCAGGTCTACCACAACTTGTCCAATACCCCCGCAAAACCCCCGACTCATAAAACCCCCCCGGTAATATCGATGCAGCTTTTCCACCTGACCTCAACTTTGAACATGCCCATAAATACTCGTACCCTTTCCCAACCCCCGGTAGATCCGTGTGTGACTTGAAAAAAGCCCACTGTGTGGGGAAAACGTTTTCAAAAAAGGATCACATTATACTCATTTGTTTTTTTTTTTTTTTTTTTTTTTTTATTACACACTGGCCCATTCCCACCAAGGCAGGGTGGCCCGAAAAAAAAAAACTTTCACCCATCACTCCATCACTGTCTTGCCCGAAGGGTGCTTTTTCACTCGTTTTTAAAAAGGAACTTAACACCCCTCCTTCAGAGTGCGGCCTTACTTTTCCCATTAGGGCTCAAGTCCGGCCTGCCGGTTTCCCCTGAAACCCTTCATAAAAAGTTACTTTGTCACACTCCCAAAAGCCGTCAAGTATTAAAAAACCCTTTGTCTCATTCATCCTATAAACACGCTCACGCATGCCTGCTGGGAAATCCAAGCCCCCCCACAAAAACCTTTTCCCCCCCCCAAACCCCCTTCCCAGGGGGGACCCCTACCCCCCCTTCCCCCACAGACTGATACACCCTTTAAGTCATTCTGTTTCGCTCCATTCTTTACTGTCCGAACCACCTCAACAACCCTTCCTCACCCCTCTGGACAACAGTTTTGTAATCCCGCACCTCCCAAAATTTCCAAAACACATTCCTTTTTTATATCACACCACCATTGCCCTCAGACTGAATCTCCACTGCCTCCAGCCTTCCCTCGCTGCAACTTTCATCCCCCACGCTTCACACCCAATAAGGCGGTTGGTAAAACCTTACTCTCATACATTCCCCTCTTTCCCTCCAAGGACAAAGTTCTTTGTCTCCCAAGACTCCTAATGCACCCTCACTCTTTTTCCCTATCAATTCTATGATTCCCCTCATCTTTATAGACCAATCCGCTGAACGTCCACTCCCAAAATCTGAATACTTTCACCTCCTCCATACTCTCTCCTCAATTGATATTCAATTCTTTCATCACCTAATCTTTTTTGTTATCCTCATAACCTTACTCTTTCCTGTATTCCCCTTTAAATTTTCTTCTTTTGCCCCACCCTACCAAATTCATCCACCAATTCGCAACTTCTCTTCAGAATCTCCCAAGAGCACAGTGTCATCACAAAGAGCAGCTGTGACAACTCCCACGGTTGTGTGTTTCTTTTTTCTTTTAACTCCACCCCTTTTTGCAAGCCTCGCATTTACTTCTTTACAAACCCCATCATAAATATATTAAAACAACGGTGACATCACACATCCTTGTCAAAGGCCTACTTTTACTGGGAAAAAATTTCCCCTTTCCCACATACTCAACTTGAGCCTCACTATCCTCGTAAAAACTCTTCACTGTTTAGAAACCCTACCTCCTACACCTACACTTGCAACACTCCCACATTCCCCCCCCTATCCACCCTGTCATACCCTTTTCCAAATCCATAAATGCCACAAAGACCTCTTTAGCCTTATCTAAATACTGTTCACTTATATGTTTCACTGTAAACACCTGGTCCACACACCCCCTACCTTTCCTAAAGCCTCCTTGTTCATCTGCTATCCTATTCTCCGTCTTACTCTTAATTCTTTAAAATTTTTAATCAAACCATACACCTTACCAGGTAACTCAACAGACTTATCCCCCTATAATTTATATTTCCATAATTAAGCATCTCTGGACAAGTGCACGAAATTCTGCAAGTAGCTTCTATACCGGGTATAAACAGATTGGATGTTCTACAAAAAACATTAAGATTGGGGAGTCTGATACTGTCATTAATATACCACTGATAATCCAAGATGTACTGCACAATGGTCTTAAAAAAAAATTGAAATTTAGACATGCTTAAAAACAAATATTGAAGTTTTTCTGTAATTTAAATAAGTGGTAATATGCAATTAAAAAAGGTTTTTATCTCAAATATACACAACTACGTATAGTCAAGACAACATACCTCAACAATTTTTGAAAGAATCTGTCTGAAGGAAGCTGGGGGGGTTGGGCTTTCTTTTTCAAAAGGGAGTGACCCTTCACAGCTCCTGCCAGACGTGCCTTCATTGTTGACTGAGCCCTGTAAATATTAATATTAGCAATGTATACTGTAATTTATTCAATTATTATACTTGTAAAGTAATTAAAAAAAAAAGTAATGCTTTCACCCTTTTTTGGAAGAAAAGTAGATAAAATCAATCCCCAAAAAGTAGAGAAATTTTTTGTTTCAGTGACTTTTTTTTGATTCACGGCAAGGGTGGAAACACTGGGTGTGTGTCCTTACACCTACTGTCCCCGTTCACCTAGCAAGTAGGTACCTAGGTGTTAGTCGATTAGTGTGGGTTGCAATCTGGGGGACAAGACTGAGGACCCTAATGGAAATAAAAAAAAGATCTCGATGAGCACGCATCTCGGGGATTATCCGGGCGGGAAACCTTTCCCGGGATTAAAAACGAATTAAAATTCTTATTTATCAAAATTTGGGCCCATGCAGATTGTAAAGGGGGGTTTGGGAGTTATGGAAAATGGCCCTTGGGCCCCAGGATGAAATCCCTAAGCATGTATGATGGAGCAACAGACTGCTTGGATTTATGTCAAGAAATGGAACAACGGAGCCCAGAGGACTAAGCCTGCATACGAAAAAAATGGTATAAAATACCGACACAATGTGTCGTGTACTTATCTGTAAAGACCTGTTTGTGTGTCTCTGTAATCGTACAGGATGCCCTCTCTTGAGAAACTTTACCAGCAGCGAGAGGGAGCTAGAGTTGCTAAGAGGAGAACGGCGATTAACGGGGGGAAAACAAGGGTTCGTAGTAATCCTTCTGTTGGAGTCCCCAGGTTAAGGGGGGAGCTTGTCAGTGGCCGGGCAACATGGAACCAAGCTAAGTCAAAAAACGGTTGGAGAGGGGGGGAAAAACAACGAAAAACCCAGAAGCCTACCGGGAAATTTCCCAAACTATTCTCGGTGCTACCTGACAAATGTGGGTATTCTGCGGGGAATGCCAAAAACGAGCCCCAAAAGAACTTTGGCAGAGTGGTAAGACATCCCAAGAAACCCCAAGAAGACCATCAGAACGTCTTGAGGAATTCTACAAGGGGTTTTGTAATGCTACCGGGGGAATGTGGCGACACCGGGGCATCACGACGGACCCCCAAAGGGAAGGTAAAAACTTTTTGTTGGGGGGTAGCCAGATTAGGTACATGGATGGGGCATTCTGCTTGAAGGATGGGGAGTAGGGGGCAGAGATGTTTTTTTCCTGGGGCGGGATGAAGGATTTGTTAGCCTTTGGGAAAGACATCATGAGAGGTAATGGGAGAAAATCCTATTATCTGTTCAGTGCGGAAAGGCAACGATTTTGGGCAGCGTGGGAGTGAGACCTGATTAGCAGGTATAGGTCAGCAAAAAGAAAATTTAGGAGGAAGGGGGGAAACCCTGTCATAGTGGCTTTTTGCCAAGGAGAGGGTTGAAAAATGATGTTTGTCCCTGAGCAATTTGGTGCAATTGCTGGCTGGACAAGTACTGAAAGGGAAAATGCGGTAACATTCATTGACAAACTGGGACCTCTCTAGGGCAGAAATGCATGTATGCCAGGGATGGGGTTCACTTATCTAGGTGTGGGGGGGAGACTGGCCAACGCAGTGGGGGAGCTGTTAGGTCTTTAAACTAGGAATAGTTAGGGGTATGGGTTTTGGGGGGAAAACTGTAAGTCGCAGGGTGTAACATGAGTACTAGGGAACTATAATAGGAAAAATGAGGTGGATATGGAAAGCCAGGGGCACAATGACAAGGACAGTAAAAGTTTAGGGGAATAACAGAAAGGGCGGGAAAGGGGTAGAGTGGAGGGTCATTAAAAATTTATTACACAAATAGTCCAGTGTGGGAAAATAAATGGACGGTTGAGACTATTTGCTGTGAGGTAACATAGATGTATTTGCCATTACTGAGACGTGGTTTTAAATTTCAAAAATCGGGACATGCCTGCAGAATGTCACATTGGGTTTTTTAAAGTTCAAGTAGATAAAAAGTAGGGGAAAGGGGGGGGGGGTGGCATTGTAGTCCGAGATCGCTTGAATTTTGAAAAAAACGGGAAATCTGAAGTAAAAACCTACAGAGTTGTTTGGGTAGAATTTTGAGGGGATGAAAATTAAATTTTAGGTGTGATATCCCTCCCCCCAAAATTTTGATAGGGACCAAGGGGGAATTTTTGGGGGGAAATTGTTAGGGCCCCCCCAAGGCACAAATGAGTAATTCTAGGGGACTTTAAATTTGCATTTGATTGGGAAATTTTTTGACTGGGAAAAATTGAATCAACGATTTCTTTGAAGTAGTTCAGGATTTTTTTTGAAGCAGTTGTGACAGAACCTTCAAGGGGAAATAACTGCTTGCTTTGTTCTGGCAAACAATGAATCCCTTGTTAATAATTTAGAAAATTTTTAGAGGAAAATGGGTGCTAGGACCCAAATCAATTAATTTGAATTGAAGGAAAAATATGATAGTAGGGAAACTCATAACAGCCCAGATTTTTCCTTAGCAGATTCGATGGGTTAGAGAACACTTATCATTGTTGATGGGGTAACGAAAAGAGCTATCAATATGACAGTTTTTTGAAAAAAATACTGCTGCTCAAAGAAGTTTATCCCTTATAGGAAATTAATCAAATAGAAAGACCCAAAATGGATGAATAATAGGCTGAAATATCTCTAGGATAAGAAAGGAATTTATAGGCGTATCAAAAGAGGCGAGGGTCTCTTAGAATCAGTATATTGACATTAAGAGGGAATTAAAAAAGGGGATAAGAAAAGCTAAAGGGACTAGAAATTAAAAATTTCTAGGGGTTCTAAAAATAACCCAAAAAGTTTTTTTTAGGTTTATAGAACAAAAGTCAGAAAAGATAGGTCCCCCTTAAAAAAAACTTGGGCATTTACTGACAAAGAGAATGAAATGTGCTCATTTTTAAATAATTATTTTCTCTCGGTTTTTACACAGGAAACACTAATATTTCCGGTAATTAAATTTTTTAGTGGGGTCAGAAGAAATAAATTAGTAACATCCGTCACTTGAAATGGTTGTGAAGCAGTAGCCGATGAAACAAAAAAAAGCACCCGGGGCTGATAGGTTTTTTCAAGGGTTTTAATAAAGGAAACAAAAAGGAAGTCTTTAACCCTTAATAATATTTTAATTTTCCTTTTAAACAGGTGTAGTGTCTGATATGTGGAAGATGGTAATGTAATTCTATTTTTTTAAAAAAGGGGACAAGCGTTACCCTCAAAAACGCCAATAAACCCGACCTCAATTTAGGCAATTGTAGAGTCAATTATAGCTGAGGTTTTTAAGAAGCCCCCCTCGATAAGCATACTTGATTAATATACTCAGCATGGATTCCAAGAGGCCGGTCTTTTATAACAATTTATTAACTTTCTTCAGTAAAGCTTTTTAGGCTGTTGACCCGATAAAGAAAATTTGATATTGTTTACTTAGTTTTATAAGGCATTTGTAGGGTTCCCCCACCCAAAGAGTTGAAGAAAGTAGCGCTCATGGCATTTGGGGGAGGGTGCTCTCGTGGTCGAGTCATGGCTCACAGACAGGAAGCAGGGTGTCCATAAATGGGGTTAAAAACCGGGGGGGATCAGAACAAATGGCGTTTCCACGGAAACGTCGGGCCCGTTTTTGTTTATAATTATATCAAAGATCTTGATGAAGGGGAAAGCTAGGATATGAGCAAATTCGCCCATGACACGAAAATAGGTAGGTTAATTGATTCAAAGTAATGTTAGGGAAATTAGGAGGTTTAGACAAACTTACTCTTGGTCAGAAAGTGGCGATGCAGTTCAATTAGATAAATGCAAGGGTTTTGAAACTCGGGAGTGTCCATAACCCTAGCACTTATAAGTTAAATAATGTAGAACTTAGCCATACAGATTGCGAAAGGGACTTGGGGGTTATGGAAGCAGCAACCTTAAACCAAGACAGCAATGCCTAAGCATACGTAATAAGGCAAATAGATTACTGGGATTTATATCAAGAAGTGTAAGCAACAGAACTCCAGAGGTCATACTGCAGCTTTATACATCATTAGTAAGGCCTCACCTAGGTTATGCAGCTCAATTCTGGTCTCCATACTACAGAATGGACATAAATTCGTTAGAAAACATTTAGCGTAGGATGACTAAATTAATACATAGCATTAGAAATCTTCCTTATGAAGAAAGATTGAAGACTCTTAAGTTACAATCACTTGTTAGACGAAGAATGAGGGGAGACCTGATCGAAGTGTATAAGTGGAAGATAGGTATTAATAAAGGGGATATTAACAAGGTCTTGAGGATATCTCTCCAAGAGAGAACCCGCAGTAATGGATTTAAATTAGATAAGTTTAGATTTAGAAAGGACATAGGAAAGTATTGGTTTGGAAATAGGGTAGTTGATGAGTGGAACAGTCTACCTAGTTGGGTTATTGAGGCTAGGACTTTGGGTAGTTTCAAATTTAGGTTGGATAAGTACATGAGTGGGAGGGGTTGGATTTGAGAGGGACTTGCACATCGGAGCTTGTTTCTTGGGTGGCATTGAAAATTGGGTTGGTCAAATGTTTGTTAGTGGGATGAATTGTAAAGGACCTGCCTAGTATGGGCCAACAGGCCTGCTGCAGTGTTCCTCCTTTCTTATGTTCTTATATGAAGTATAATGTGATCCTTTATTGACAATGTTTCGCCCACACAGTGGGCTTTTTCAAGTCGCAAACAAATCTGTTTGTGACTTGAAAAAGCCCACTGTGGGGGCGAAGCGTTGTCAATAAAGGATCAGATTATACTGTATATGTGTTTATATTTCCAGCTCTGCATATCATTAGTGAAGTCTCAATTACTGGGAGCGCTTAAAGTTCCTGAACCTGTATTACCTGGAACGCAGGCGGGAGAGATACACGATTATATACACCTGGAAAATCCTAGAGGGACTAGTATCAAACTTGCACATGAAAATCACTCACTACATACCCAATCACACATACCCAAGAGTTGCACATGTGTCTAATTTATCATTATTATTATTACTGAATGGGTCAGCTTCATCTGCTTGCTGGAGTGTTCCTTCATTCTTGTATTATGACAAATCATGTGACTAATGGCACTATTGAAAATGATAACGGCACTGTTACTAGTAGTGTATATATTAATATAGTAACGGGAAAGTTGTAAATCTGAATTAAGCACTATAATTTAAATGAACTTGAAAATAATATTAAAAATTGTAAAGCGCGTATAAAACACTTGAAATAAATCCATTAGCTATCACGAAGATGCTCCATTGTAACATATTTAAACTTACCCTCTAGAGGGGAAAATGTTGATCTTATCCTTCCCAGACATCTTTACACCTTTTCTCTAATTCTTCATAGGACAACAGTCAGCAGGAGGTTTCTTGGGTGGGGGGGAGGGAGGTGATCCGTCTTCCAGCTGCAGTAACAACACTCCACCTCCGCCGCTATCTTGTTTACAACTGAGCTATAACGTCGACTACCACTCCCGTGATCAATACTTCCATATTATCTACATCCCCCATCATTAATGAACAACAATATAAAAACAATATATACATATATCTTAACGAATTAAACTTATCAGAATGTACCTCTATAATTTATTCAATATATATAGTTCATAATATTACATAGTACTTAAGGAAAATATGAAATATTTCCTAAGTTGTATCATAATGTTCATCTATTATTGTGCTTTTTGAACATTAAAATGGTATAAAATACCGACAGGTTGTTAGGTAAGACACATATGCAACAGTTAGGTATCTTTATTATGAAACGTTTCGCCTACACAGTAGGCTTCTTCAGTCAAGTACAGAAAAGTTGATAGAAGCAGAAGATACTTGAAGACGATGTAATCAGTCCATCACCCTTAAAGTTTTGAGGTGGTCAGTCCCTCAGTCTGGAGAAGAGCATTGTTCCATAGTATGAAACAATATTGTGCTTTTTCTTATTAGTAGTTATCGTTCACTATTATTACAAAAATATGATACATGCAACTTTAGAAATAATTTTATACTATGTACACATGAAAACGATTTTCTCTGACATTAAATAGGTCTCTAATCTTTGATTTTCTAAGGAAATATGGAAAAATTATCCCGCACACAAAATATAAAACACTATTCATGGTTTAGAAAGACACGAAAGCAAACACTATAACATGGAAATAAATGGTATAAAATACCGACACAATGGCAATATAAACACAAATGCAGTATAATGTGATCCTTTATTGACTACGTTTCGCCCACACAGTGGGCTTTTTCAAGTCACAAACAGAACTACCTGGGGTGGAAGGAACGCGAGTATTTATAGTCCGGCTGAGGTCAGGTGAAGAATGCTGCATCTGATGATGTACCGAGTTGGGTTGTAGAGTCTAAAAACTTGGGTAGCTTGGAAAGGAGACTGGACAAGTTTGTGAGCAGACCTTCTACAGTGTTCTTATGTGGGATAGCGATGAAGAAGTTTCTTGGCAAGTGGTTCAGCTATGTTATAGAAGCCACTATTCTGGTTGAAGTTGTCTTCACCTGACCTCAGCCGGACTATCCCAATACCGAAGAATCCTGGAATCATCACTTATTTCTATATCCGACAACTTCAACCAGAATAGTGGCTTCTATAACATAGCTGAACCACTTGCCAAGAAACTTCTTCATCGCTATCCCACATAAGAACACTGTAGAAGGTCTGCTCACAAACTTGTCCAGTCTCCTTTCCAAGCTACCCAAGTTTTTAGACTCTACAACCCAACTCGGTACATCATCAGATGCAGCATTCTTCACCTGACCTCAGCCGGACTATAAATACTCGCGTTCCTTCCACCCCAGGTAGTTCTGTTTGTGACTTGAAAAAGCCCACTGTGTGGGCGAAACGTAGTCAATAAAGGATCACATTATACTGCATTTGTGTTTATATTGCCAAACACTATAACATATTTATTAGAAAACGTTTCGGTCCTGGGACCTTGATCACTTCTAACGTTAGAAGTGATCAAGGTCCCAGGACCGAAACGTTTTCTAATAAATATGTTATAGTGTTTGCTTACGTGTCTTTCTAAACCAACTTGTCGGTATTTATTACCAAGGTTTATACCAACACTATTCATACCCAATACTTCGAAAAACAAACACAAATGCAGTATAATACAATCCATTATTGACTACGTTTCGCCCACAGAGTGGGTGATCTGTTCGTGACTTTCGAAAAGTGTCAATAAAGAATAGCATTATACTGCATTTGTGTTTATTTTTCCAAATAAGTCCAAATGATAATGGAAAGACAATTGTGTAGAGTTCAGGATATTAAAGAAAAAAACTTTGCCACTGAAGCCACTCATAACTAAAGGTTTCCCTTAATAAATGTCCTGAACTGAACAGAAATGTCTTTTCCACATCTTGTAATAAAGTTGGTAGAATTACCGACAATATGTAAAGTAAAAGGACACAAGTGCAACTAATGTGACATTTATTGTGGCAACGTTTCGCTCTCCAGGAGCTTTATCAAGCCATTACCAAGCCATAATGGCTTGATAAAGCTCCTGGAGAGCGAAACGTTGCCACAATAAATGTCACATTAGTTGCACTTGTGTCCTTTTATTTTCCACATCTTGTTGGTGGTTTAGAAAGACACGTAAGTAAACACTATGTCATAGTGTTTGCTTACGTGTCTTTCTAAACCAACTTGTCGGTATTTATTACCAAGGTTTATACACATCTTGTTAGGTAAGACACATATGCAACAGTTAAGTATCTTTATTTCGAAACGTTTCGCCTACACAGTAGGCTTCTTCAGTCGAGTACAGAAAAGTTGATAGAAGCAGAAGAGACTTGAAGACGATGTAATCAGTCCATCACCCTTAAAGTTTTGAGGTGGTCAGTCCCTCAGTCTCTCTTCATCTACAAACTCTCTTCTCCAGACTGAGGGACTGACCACCTCAAAACTTTAAGGGTGATGGACTGATTACATCGTCTTCAAGTCTCTTCTGCTTCTATCAACTTTTCTGTACTCGACTGAAGAAGCCTACTGTGTAGGCGAAACGTTTCGAAATAAAGATACCTAACTGTTGTAAAGTAAAAGGACACAAGTGCAACATATTGCATATGTGTCTTACCTAACAACCTGTCGGTATTTTATACCATTTTAATGTTCACCCCATACCCATCCTGTGGGTGGCAGTTAAAAGATTACAGAGGTATATAATGGGTCCAGGGACTGGGCCCCAAAGTTTTGATAGCTGAGCAAGTTACAGAGGTACAAAATACCATTTTAATGTTCAATCTGTCAGACACTGCGACACAAGGGTATCTTGGTCTTGGTACAGACCTGAAATCAACTTCGACAACCTCTACTAGTGAGAACGGCTGGATTTGAGAGGGACCTGACCTCCCAAAGCGACCTACGTCTCACCTCCTGGCGCTATATAAGGCTCCATTCTGTCCTTTCAACTTCACAGTTGCTCTACAGACTAATCGATCACACAGTTGCTCTACAGTCAAGAAGACTCTCTTCGACCCCGCCGGGTTGTAGAATTTATATTCTACAAACATCACATCCTTTTCACAATGCTGTCGAATCATGTGAAAATCAAGCCTGTGAATGGTGCAATAAATGACTCCTCGAAGTTAGCTTTAGCTACCGTCGTTAAGACCCGCCTGCAGGTCAAATTTACGGCAATCCACTCTCTGAAGGACTCCTTCATTGTCGTCTGCACAGACGACACGGAAGCATCAAAACTTATGGACGACTCTTCAATCAGGACCCTACAAACACAACAATTCACTCTATCCCCGTCTCCATTCTTGAAGTCGAAACGTTCGGTCTTTGTGAAAAGACTGGACAATATGGTCACCTCTCTCTCTACTGAAGCACTGAAGACATCTATTGAGGAACAAAACACCTGGGCCTCGGTAGACAGCATCTACAAGATCCCTAACGCCTCATCTATGCTAAAGATTACATTTTCAGACATCTCCATGGCTGCCCAAGCTCTCTCTGACGGTCTGGCCATCTCATATTACCACATTCACGCTAGTCATATAGAACAAGAACGTTTCACATACATCTCCCACTGCTGGACCTGCTACTCCTATAAACACACCACCAAGGATTGCCCCATCAAGGATAAGAAGTTTTGTTCAAAATGTGGGAATGATGGACACGATTTCAGATCCTGCACCATTACTACAGCACCAATTTGTCTTAACTGCAAGGGTAATCATCATACCCTTGCAGCTAAGTGCCCAATCAGAAAAGAAATCATACTGAAGAAAACTAAAGTTCTGAAGAACACCTCCAATTCACCGACATACGCTGCAATAACCAAACCACAAACCGACACCACCAAGACTCTACACGCTAATCTACAGGCACCATCGCCCAGCAACTCCCTCTCTCCACTCCCAGACGGAGATTCCTCAAAGGTGCTGTACTGCATGGTGTATGCACACCTTGCAAACGCAGCAAACCCCGGCACTTTCAACACCACTATTAACGAACTATTCCGTCTGAACAACATGCCTGCCTTCAATTTTCCGGACTCCACACCTTCAGCAGACATCCTCAAGATCCTTCCCAACATCCTGAACTTTACTGCACCTGCAGACCTGTCTCCTGCCCAAGCAACTGCTCCTGCAACTTCTATAACCACTTCCACCGCTGACAACGTTGATCATGTTGCCTCAACCACCGTCTCCCACCTCTCCCAGCCTGCTGTTACACAACCATTACACCTTACAGCTGCTCCTGTCGACCCTCAGTCACCGGCTACCACCATTGTAGATTCTCCCAATGAATCCACTCCAGAAGAGGAAGATAACGACGACTCCAGTAAACCCTCATGGGAAAACCTTACCTTTTACACTTCTCCTTCAAATACTGACACCATGACCTGTACTGAACTCTACAAAAGCCTCGGTGCTGGAACAGTCAAGTATGCATGTGAATCACCGCTTCACTTCTCACTCACCCAAGTTCTTGAGTTCATCAAGCCTCTACGTTTCACCTTCAGTAACAAGGCTAAACTATACCACCCATCTAAGTAGCTTCAAAAAGTTCGAAAATGGCTCCATTGCTAACCTGCCTCCTCAGTTACTCCTATAACTCCCATATGTGTTCTACCCTCTGATGTGACCTAGCCTGCTGCCAGCTACTCAAGATTCAAGACTTCAACTACCACAAGTTCAATGCAACAGTCCCTGCTATTCCTGTTCTCAAGTCTGCCCCACGATCGCCTTAGCTGCTGGGTTAAGCCCTGGCTCTATTTCTCTGACTAAGAACACTCCTCTCCAGAGCTATTCTTCATCTGTCCCGTCTTCCCCGCTCATCCCATTGGGATCTTACCTGAACTTGTTTGCTTTGCTTGCTTCAACTTCATATTGTTTCAGACTTCGGAACAATGCTCTTCTCCAGACT